AGTCAAAGTATCAAACTTTTGCTGTTCAGTGTAAAAATGCGATGGAAACACGTTCAAACGTATATTTTACACGGTTGTTTAACCATAAAAAATAATAATGATAATGAATTAAAAGCGCGTGATGTCATTACCTGCGTGGATGCGTCAAACATTAGGTAAACTTTACCGTCATGGTTTCAGGTTTGCCTAGCTATTTCAAGAAAATATTAAAAATATGAATGTATGGCCCAAAATCCAGAGGTCCTTTAGGAATGTCTAACTAATAATATAGGTGATGCCAACCTATTCTGGCATATGATGACGTATTTTGTTTGTTTTGCATAGGTTCTTCGATGACATCTTGGCCCTCCTCTCAAGCTCGACCTCAGAAAAATGAGAAGTGAAAAACTGCACTCGGTATCCTTAAGATATTCACCATTCTTTCTCATCCTCATTATGAGCCGTCTTTTCTTATTGACGCATAACGAAGGTCTATGCCCCAAGATTTCGTTATCAGATGTTGTCTTCTGTGAATCTTGTTCATGTTGCACCAACAATTTTCTTTAACTCGTTGTGCCTTTTATTTGGAGGGCTCTATATTTGCCGTTTACTGTCTCTTTTAACCCAGTCTAATACCTGTTAGGTCCTGCTGTGATCGGTTGCTCTTACGGTACGTCAGGCACTTTCCATTGGAACGTTCGATCTGGCGTTTACATCACAGGCACATCGAGCTACTGGCTATGTGATTGTCTTCTTATTTCTTTTGGTCATTCCAGCTTACACCTTTCCATTTTGCGGGGCGTAATTTCTGAACAGCTGTCAAACAGAGTTCATGTTCCATACGGAAACACGTACTGCTTGAAGACCTTCCGTTTTCAAGAACAAGGTTAGTGTCCCACATTCGACAATTTCAGTCTTTAACAGGTGCTCATGCCATTTTTACTCTTCTGTTTATTTCGTGCAGTTGAATCTTCCGGTGCAGTGATCAACTGTTAGGTAGTTCGTTGTTGTACAACTACAATTCTGACTTCGTTCTTCGTTCTGTCGTTTTCTGGGGCACGTGTTTCCTCAGCAAGTTCAGGACCCGAATATTTTTCAGCTTAATTGTCAACCTCGTCTTGGTACTGGGTTGTTCAGTTCACGGATTTTTCTCTGGAGTTCTTCTAGACACCTTGTGTGGACATTAGCATATTGTGTGTATTTCAATTGACTGTGTATCTTCAACTCCAGATTCAGTTGTTTAAATAATCTCCTAAATTTTTCGAAATATATGGATACCTTCGAACTATCAACTCAGCTAACTACGTCCTGTCTAGTGCACCCATCTCTAAATCGTTACTGGATTTTAAAACTTCAATTTTTCTGGATATCGCAAACAATTTTAAATCTTTAGGTATCTTTTGCTAAATTATGTGACCCGCCCTTTATATTTCATCGCATAGTTTCATGTATGAAGAGGACAGTTACCACTTACTGTAGCACCAACAATAGAATTTAAAACAGAATTATTAACGTTTGAAAATTTTATACGTAAAGATTGTTATCCTAAGAAGAAGTGTAGGATCTTTTGATGATTTCAGAAACTCATTTCGATTA